GACCGATGCACACCCCTATTCATGAGAGTAACCTAATAGTCTTAAAAGTTGAGTATTTATAAATTTTACGATAATACAATATTTATGATGCAATTATATTTCATCAATGAGTTCATTTTTATTTGAATTGTTCGTTAATATGTATTATATATAATATTTATTGCAATTTATGTTATTTAGAAATTTAGAATAAAATATAATTTTATATTAATGAAGAATTTGAAAAAAAAAATTGTATTACGTAAAGATTATAGAGTGATTATTTGCAAAAAGAAGAAATGATTTATATTATGAAATAAGAAAATAAGAATGAAATATAAATAATAATATAATATTGAGGAGAGAGAAAAAGATTCCTTTTTAGAGAGTAAAATAGAGAATTGGGTTAGAGTTGATTATCTGAAAAAATAGAGAACTTTATATTTGGAGAGTAAAATAGAGGATTGAGTTGGAGATGCCCTAATTCTCGAGAACATAACTAACCCAACATAAGAGTCGGGTTTTTTCGATTTTAGGTTGACAAACTTTTGAAGAACATTAACGTGATTTCTAAAATATAAGTACATAGAGTATGTATTTTTGGCTTACTGATAAGCGTAAGTTAAGAATAAATTATACGTCTCGTTTGAACATGATTTCATATTAGTGATTTAAAATTAAATTGATTTGAAGTTGAAATTTTATTTTGATATGTAATTTGAATTTCTTAAGTTGTAATTTAATTTTAAATCACTAATATGAAATCATGTTCAAACGAGACGTAAAATTTATTCTTAAGTTACGCTTATCAGTAAGCCATTTTTCGTAAACATGAAAATTCACAAACTGTGAAAACTATTAAGATTTGTTCGATTCTTATATAATCTTATCAAATAAGTAAATTTTATAAACAAAATGTTTGAATATCTTAAGGCGACGTATTATTCAAATCTCATGTCCAAATATCTACTTTAACAAGTATAATATGTAGCTTGGACAATGGCACATATGATATCATAGTTAAACTTAGGGCCCGTTTAGCCATGTGATATGGTATCATGATATGGAATCATGATATGGTATCATGATATGGAATCATGAGATGAAATTGAAGGTTTGTTTGGACATGTGATATGAAATTTTTGTGGTGTATATTTTCTCATAAACATAAAAATCTCATAAGTTGTAAAACTATTAAAATAGTTCCAATTGTTTATTCAATCTTATCAAATAACAAATAATTATAAAATCGCATAATAAATTATTTCAAAGTTATTTGTTCTCCACTTAAGTAATTGTTTCATCTAACTTTAATTTAATAAAAAAAATTGAACATAAATTGTAGTGTACTAGTCTTTAATATAATCCTCCACATAGTACGGACAATTTCCTTACGTTGAACTTGCATTTCTCGATCATGTGACCGAGAAGACGAACCAACATTGTTACTTTGAGCCATTTGTTGGTCAATATCCTCCGCAACTATATCTTCATGTTCATAGACCATAAATATTCATCACTACTTTGGTATCTCGCAAATAATTATGTAACACTGCACAAACTATGAAAATTTTCACTTGTGTATCAATATCATAATGGTTCATGCCTTGTTTCAGTATTCTAAATCTATTTTTCCAAGCTCCAAAAGTCCGTTCAATCACACTGCGCAGAGATGAATGCCTATAATTAAATAGTTCTTTGGCATTTTGAGGCTCTCTTTCACTTCCTCGATAATCTTGCAAATGATAGCATAGTCCTTTGTATGGAGCTAAAAATAATTTTGTGTTTCGGAAATCAACATCAACAACATAATATTTATCTACCAAAAAACATTTTATAAAGAATTACTAAAAGCATATGTGACGTATGAGACAACTTTGTGTAAATAAATAATATATCAAATAAAAAATACATCAATATTAGTTTAGTGAACATAAAATAAATTGGAAGCATTATAGAATGCACTTCATAAAAATAATGTTTGTAAGAGTAATAAAAATAGTGCTTCCAAGACAATGCAAAGTCATAAAATAAATATTATCTCTTTAAACAAAGTTGATAGAAAATATGTAGCTAAATACTAATAACTTACACATAAAATATAAATGTGCACTTATTAAAGCCATAAAGTAAATTTATTAATGTGATTGAAATTTTACCTTAAACCAAGGCCAAAATCGAGTATTATGTCGAATTTTGGAATGTACACCAGTCATATTTTTTGGTTGTATAAATGTTGGTGCCATCTTGCTAATTGCTTCGGCAACTATTTTAACATGCCGGTTAATTGTTTCAAGTGAATGTTGAAAAGTTTCACAATCGTGAGGTGTGAGTTAAAGTGACTATATGTTGGTGAGAATAATAAATTTTATGTCGGTGAAAATAATAAATTTTAAAAAGTAATGATGTGATTATAAATTTTATTTACATATGAAACAAATGGTTAGTAGATATAAATGTGGGGTTGTTTTAACAAAATATAAACTCATGAATCAATTATTGTATTAAAATATCTCAAATCATGATATGGAATCAGCGTAAAATCGCATGTCCAAACGCTGATTCCATCTAGCGATACCATATCGTGATATGGTATTGCATGGCCAAACGCCTACTTAGAGTCATCAATATGGGCTAGCCCGTTGGGCCAGTCTGGCCTAACTCGTAATTTGATAGGTTGGGCTAAAAATTTTGGAGTCCATTTAAAAAAGTAAATTGTGTTTTAGCCCGTTTTCAACAAGCCTGCTAATTTGTGGGACTTGAAACATGGATAGGGTCTGTGGAACAAATAAATAATAATTAAAAAAAAAAGTATTAAAAAGGGAAAAGGTTCAAAATGCCCTCAACCTATTGAAAATGGTTCAAAAATGTCCTCCTTCCACCTATTGGTTTAAAGATGTCCTTAACGTTTTCTTTAGGTTCAAAAATGCCCTGTAGCTAACAGAAATATGACATGGAATTTAACTAAACAAATGGCCGATTTTCATTGATCAACATAATTATTTTATCAAATATAAAAAAAACCCACCCAAACCCATTTCAAACCCAACACCCAAATCCATTTCAAACCCGACACCCAAACCCATTTCAAATTAATCTAACCCAACTTTTGTCTCTCTTCTTTCTTTCTTCACCTTCCCCTTTTCCTCATCTACCCTTTTTATTTAATTTGTGTTTTCTTTCTTCCTATTTAATGTATAAAAAATTAGTTTCTTAGTCAAGGTTAATAGTGTCATAGTTATTGAAGATTGATTGTAAATCATTTCACAATGTGGATGCGAATGAATATTGTATGTAAATTCCCACCTTGCGGCATCAGTGATTAATATTACTATGCATTTTTGTTGCTATTTTTTGGGTTAAAATGCTGTTTTGGGGGTTTACAATTACATTTAGCTGTTATTTTTTGGGTTTCAAGCTTTCATTTTAATTGTTGTTTGTTGGGTTGAAAGTTACTCTTTTTTGGGCTTAAAAGCTGCAATTTAGCTTTTTTTTTTATCAAGTTAATTGATGCAACGTAGCTACTTTGGGGATGAAAGTTGTTGTTTTTTAAAGAAAGAAAAGAAGATGAAGAAAGAACAGAGGAAGAAGAAAAAACAGAGGTCGCATGAAGTGCCAATTGAAAACGGGTTTGGGTGAGATTTTTTTATTTGATAAAATAATTTTGTTGACCAATGAAAATTGACCATTTGTTTAGTTAAATTCCATGTCATATTTCTGTTAGCTAAAGGGCATTTTTGAACCTAAAGAAAACGTTCCCGTATTAAAAACAACAAGAGTCGAAAGTCAAAATCTATTTAAAAATTTAAATATTAAAATTTAGATACAAGTTATATTTATAAAAT